GGTCTCATTGGAAAGCTTGTATGGATGGAGTAAGCATCTATCAAACACCCTTCATGAGACACATTAGACACTTTGGAAAATACTCACCTCGGAATATCCTTTGATCGCGGCCAGGCATATGCTCGACAAGATGTTTTCCTTTTGTTTCTGGCAGAAGACATTCAAAGGCGACTGTGTCAATAAGACAGAGAAGGCACATGATGCAGTAAGGCAATGCAATCCATATATCAGCCTATATTGTTAAGATCAAGAGGGGATGTGATAACCTTCAACAAATGCAGACTCTCATACCGAGTAGAAGACAAAGGGAGAGATTACAACTCCAGCTCGATTCCAAATCTGAAGGAATGAGTAGCCAAGATTCCTTATAGGCGTCGGGAAGAGCTCATTTCCAGTAATGCCATCTGCGATGTAAATCTAGAAAAAGTGATTTATGATACATCGGGAGAGGGTTGAAGACGTGAGGGAAAATGCTGCTTGTTGCAAGAGTTCGAACCGTACTGATTCGAACTCTTCACTTACACGATTTTTTTAATTCTTTTAATCTTCCCAAAGGGTGAATCGCAATATGATGAATGCTGCTTTGCTGTTTCGTGGTTCTATATGCGCTAAATCCGACCGGACAGCAAGAGAAGTAATTGCTCTTCGGACTCATATTTGGAGGGAACAGAACTAGTCGCCGTTTTGAAAGTGGAATTGGGATAAAAAAAGCAACAGTGAAAATGCATAATAGGGATACATACTTAAGTATGAAAGGGAATGTAAGGGATGAGAAAATTCTAAGTGAAGTTTACGACTTGTCACTAGAGTTTCAGAATCTTGTATCATTGTTAGTTCAAACTGATGTTTTACTTTTGAATGTGATGCGTGGATTTATGGGCAAGTCTAGAAAATATGAAATCGAATGAGCTACAGCGGTGAGAAATCTAATTCTGGGCAGTCAGGCACTACGAAGAATGTGAGCTAAACCAGAAATGATTTTTATGATCCGATAATTTTTGCCAAATTATTGTATGTTCTGAACAGAGTTCGAAAGCAATTTTTCAAAGATCATTGTACAATATCCTGGAAAGTTTGAAAGAATGGGAGAGTTTGCGATGAGGTTTGGATGCACAAGATTTATTTGTACATTGTAAGTGGAGTATAGCATTGCGAAATCCATCGAATTTAAACGA